ATTCCACAGCTGTGCCTGGTCACTTCCTGCCTCTAATCAAAGCCACCCTTCTACCACACCCACACCAATTGGAAACAAGGCCCTCTCCTTCACCCAAGGGGTTTCTCGAGGGTTTCTTCATTTCTTGGTATTTTCTCTTTGTAACTCTTGTGTGGGTGATCTTGGGATAGGGAGCCACAGTCACAGCCGTTCAATCAGGATCCAAGCTTAAAGATCTTGAGTAGCTGCTTTGTGCTAGACACTGTTCTCTGTGTGCCACTTGTATTAACTCATTTAATCCTCACAACTACATTGTCGTTATAACAGCCACATTTTACAGATGAGAAAACTGAGGCATAAGGAAGTTAAAAAATAGCCAGGTGTGGTAGTGCACACCTGTAGTCCCAGCTACTTGGGAGATTAAGGCGGGAGAATCACTTGAACCAGGGAAATGGAGGCTGCAATGAACTATGTTTCACCACTGCACTCCAGCCTGGATGACAAAGTGAGACCCTGTCTCAGAAAAAAAAAAAAAAAAAAAAGTTGACTAATTAAGCCAGGACTCTAAACCAGGCAGTCTGACTCATGAGTCAGCTTTCTTAACCTCTGCCTTGCAGTAAAACCCAAATTACCCAGTACTCTCTACGGGGACGATTGACATAGTGTTGGCCAGGGCATTGCCCTGTGATGTCCAGACTTATGAGACATTGGTCAGAGGAGAGAGAGAGAGGGTGACAGGAACAAGGCATTAACAGCCAGGCTAGCTGTCAGCAGCATTTCCCAGGCAGGAGACTCTAATGGATCTCTCTCTGAGCAGGACACAGGCAGGCTCTGTGTGGTTAGAGATGAAGGGAGGAGGAGGAGTGAGTGTTTGTGAGCTCAGCCCAAATGAGGGCTGATGTCACTTCTCCTTTGTGCATTTGTGTCTGAATTTGACATCTGATGTAAACCGGTAGGTGTTAAATTCTGTCTTGTGTTTTCAATCTGCTGAATTGGAAGTCCCACATGGGAGCATTTGGGTGAGCCTCAGCAACGCTGGCTCAGAAACCACCAGATGCTTCCCAGAGAAAGTTATTTGTCTGCCAGTACCCACTGCCATACTTGCCTCTTCACACTACTACATCTCCTTCTTTCCTTGGCTCTGATGGGTTAACAGATATTGTAGGGCAAGTCTGTGTCATAGGCCCTGGGAAGGATACTCTCTCGATTGGTAAGATTTGAAGGTGAAAGTCACTGGCCATGAAACAGAATGAAGACCATAAGAAGATGGAAATTCGGACTCCAGTTACTGGGCTCTCATGAAGCGCGGCGTCATGAATTTTAGTAAAAACAAGGCCAGGGGTTGATATGTTGCTTCTTCATGCATGGCTCTTTGCCTGAAACCACAGCTCTCCTCCAGTTGTTTCTGAAGTGTCAGGCACTTTTTTCACTGGGGCTGCCGAAAACGAATCTGAAACTGATTTGAGGAGCGTCTTCTCCCCTGCTGGGGCACCTGTGCCTAAGGTTTCAGGTGGTTGGGCATGCCTTCTCTGAGTGTTCTCCGTCAGACAGGCCGCCTGGCCCTAGAGACCTGCCACATGCTTTCTGAGCCACAAATATTTTACACTATGAGTTCCCAGCAGCTGCCCTTCCCCCACTTCCATTCCTTTCCACCTCTTCATCGTTCCTAATCCCACACCTTAAAATCCCTTTAGCCACTGTCATCTTACCTTGTCCCTTTCTCATGTGGACCTCTCTCTGGAAGTTCCAAATCTGGGAAGCCTGAATGAGCTCTAGCTTCAACCTGCTGGGCAAAGGAAAGTGAAATGAATCTCTTTGAATGTTTCCTACATGGCAGAGGTTGTTTGCAGTGCCCTACTCACATTATTTCATACAAATCTCATGACAATTTGAAAAGGAAATGTTTACCCTCAAAGGTCCTGAGGCCACTCAGGCCTAGATTAGAAAGTGGCAAAACCAGGCTTCAGACCCATCACTGCGTACCTCCAGAGTCCACAGTCCTTGCGTGATTTTGGATGCCTCCGGAGCCCCATTCGGCTTTCCCAGCTTTCTAACCTCATAGCTCTGTTCCCATGCAGACTTGACATTTTGCTTCTTAGACTTTAGAAAAGAAAGGTGGCGGTGGGGTGTGGGGGAAGAAAGGAAAGGAAGAAAAGAAAAGAACAACCTTCCAGCTTTTTCTTCTGAGGATCATACATCTTTGTAGAATAACTACGACAATAACATAATAACAACTTGTCGTGTGTGGGTGTTTTAACTGGAAGGGGGCATGTGCCATTCAGTGATTATTTAAAAAAAAATTAAGCCATGTAACCATTAGAAAATGATACTGTTTTACACACTGGGAGTTCCGGTATGTAAAACACAGGAGTGGTGGTGACTGAAGTGATGGTGGTGGAAGGAGCTCCAAGGCCTGGCCTTTCTATGTCCCTTGCAGCCAGAAGCATGTCATGTATAAAGCAAGATAGCAAGATTTCTAGTCTCAGGATTCTGTTGAACATGGTTTGAAAGCCTCCTGATTATTTTTCCTTTTAAAATAAGCAAGCTGAAGCCCAGAGAGGGGAAGTGGCTGGCAAAGTCAGGACTAGTGCCTGGGTCTCCCAGCTTCTATCCTGCAGCTTTTTACAGAAATCCCAGTTTGTATATTTTTGCACAGACTCCGCTGGATGCAGTCCAGGAAGGGATGCAGGTGGAGGTGGAGAAGGAGGAGGGCCTGGGTTTCCACTTTTTCTCCTTCCCCATCACCAACAACCTGAACTCCCAACCCCCGTGGGGAATGGGGTAGGTCAGGGAGAGGACTGACAGGGATTATAGAAAGTGCGATCGAGGGTACAAGGGATCAAGTTTGGTAGCCGACAAGGAAGAGAGGTGAGGCAGAAGATGAGGGGAGGAGGTGAGGTAAACAGAGCAAAGGACCCGCCTTCCCAGCTCAGGACCAGGGCTGGGCTCGAGTCTGGGCCCTGGTCTCGTTCTAATATCCCCTTGAGCAAGTCCTGGCACTTTTTCCTGCCTGTTTCCTTTGAGGGCTTCTCTGTCACCACCAGTAAGCGTGTACAGGCTACAGGAGGAGCAGTGAAGAGCAGTGTGCTACAGAGAGCACTGCACCCTGGGAAACAGAATTAGTTGGACCAGCTCTGCCTGTAAGTAGCTGAATGTCTTGAGGCAACTTAAATGTTTCCTTGGACCTTAGATTCCTTGCCTGTAAAACAGGATGGGGCCAGATGATCTCTAAGGGTCCTTCTGGCTCTGAAAGCAATGATTTGGGGCATGGAACCTGTGGTTAGAGAGCTGGGGAATGGGCAGATGTGGGTTCCAGGGCACCCAGAATTGCAGGCTTAGGAGCTAACAGCAACCAGGCGTTCTGTGGTCTAGCAATCTTGCTTTATAGGTGAGGAAACTGGGCCTAGAAAGGCAAGTGATTTTTTGCTTCTCTCACCTTTATTCCTCTTTTCCCCTGAACGGTAGAGTCTGAAGGTTCAGGGCAAAGCAGTTTTGTGTAGTGGATACATACGCTTTTTTGTTGTTATTTTTCTGAATTATTTTGTTGACTTTCTAAGTTTTTTTTACATAAACAGTAAATGCTCGTTATAAAAATTTCCATTAATACAGGAAGTGAAAAAAGTAAAGAACTGCAAATTGCTGTTATCCTCCCACCCTTACCCCTTAGGTCCCCAGAGGTGTCTCTGTTAACGGTTCAGTGTGTATCCATCCTGATCTTTCCAATGAATGTGCAAACTTGTATGCCTCTCCCCCATAACTGGATTATCATATACATTATTCAAGCATAGACTTTAGAATCAGACATATCTAGAGTCTAATCCCAGCTTATAGCTAATTATTTGAGTGACCTTGGCCAAGTTATTCAACCAGTTTTAGTCTCAGTCTCCCCAGGTGTAAAATGAAAATAATAATAGTATCTACCTGGACTGGCTTGGCGGCTCATGCCTGTAATCCTGGCGCTTTGGAAGGCCGAGCCTGGTGGATCCCTTGAGCTCAGGAGTTCAAGACTAACCTGGGCAATTTAGCAAGACCTCATCTCTAACTAAAACAAAACACAAAAAAACTCCCCCAAAATTAGCCAGGTGTGGTGGTACGCACCTATAGTACCAGCTACTGGGAAGGCTGAGGTGGGAGAATCGCTTGAGCCAGGAAAGACGAGGCTGCAGTGAAATGTGATTGCGCCACTGCACTCCAACCTGAGCAACAGACCGATACCGTGTTTCTGTTAAAACAAACAAAATAGTATCTACCTTATAGGACTGTGGTGAAGATTTAATGACATTTTATATGAATAGCACTTAACAGTTCCTGGTACTGATAGTAGTAAGCACTACACACACACACACACACACACACACAGAGCACAGAATGAGTTAGGGGTAGAGTGAAAACTAGACCCCAAGTTTTCTGACCCTCAATCTCTGCGACTTTCTACCACGTCTGTCTGCTTCTCTCCTAGGTGCCTAGGCGTGGGTTAAGTGCTCACTACTTGTTGAATGAATGATTGAGGTTGTGTGTAAGGGGGTAGATCCAGGGATCTGAGGTCTGTGGAGTTCCTGGGATGCCTGCTCTGGAAAATGGAGGCTTTCACTCTGTGAGTTGGGAGGGTGTGGGGCAGTGTGGGTTGGCTGGACCAGCTGTTACTTCGGAGCTCCACGCCTGGAGAGTTGGGCCTCTAGGCAGAGCTGAGGGCCCAGAGTGGCTCTCAGCTTAAAGGATCTTGGCTTAGAAGGAATGTGCAGTGGGCTGCCTCTGCTCAGGAGGGGCTAAAAAAAGCCTCACCCTCCCCTGGGCTTTGTGTGAGGGTTATCAACTGCTCAAGTCAGCTCATCTCTCCGGCTGCTCTGGCATATTTGAGAAGGTCTGTTTCCCTGGTCCTTGTGGGTTTCCACCAATTGGCAGGAAGGGATCAGCCTGTCCTAGAGGTGAAGAGAGAGGTGTGGCGTGAAGGGGAGGGGGCTGGTGGCCCCAAACCTGGTGACAATACACAGTTGTCAGCTGTACCCTGCTGGCGTTTCTTCCTTTTATAGTCAGCAGCAGTTGCTCTTGCTCTCACCCAGCCCCTCTGTGGGGGCTCCTGCCCAGGATAAAAGGGAAGGGAGGCGGCCCAGGCTCCTATCTCATCTCCCAGACGCCACGTCTCTTGGTTTCTTCTTAGATCACTCCTCTGCCGAAGATCCCAACAAGACAACATGGCTCCCAAGAAGCCTGAGCCTAAGAAGGAGGCGGCCAAGCCAGCTCCAGCTCCAGCCCCTGCACCAGCCCCTGCCCCAGCTCCTGAGGCTCCCAGGGAACCTGCCTTTGACCCCAAGAGTGTAAAGGTAAGTGAGGCTCAGCCATTGGGATAGAGGTGGGGATGACATGCAGAGTCCTTTTGCTCTGGAGCTTAGAGATCTACTTTATGTGGGGCGGACTGGGATGAGGACTAGGGTGTCCATGACCCAGACCGCAGTCCCATGGGGCAGTGGAGCGGGTGTTGGGGTTGATTGATGAGGGGGAGATAGGGTCATAAACCTTTTCCATCAAGAATGAGGTGCTGCTTTGAGGGAGCCCTGTCCTGCTACCCTAGATTTGTGCAGCTAGTTGGGAATGGAGAGAGATACAACCAACCATTCATCCACCCTTTTATAAGGCATTGTGAGGACCACCATAGCAAAGTAAAAAGAGACTAGCCTTTTCCTAGGAGGTAGTGGGATATCTTTATGGAGAACAGACACAGGGGAGCTGCCAGTGTAACTTGGAGTAAGTGATATAAACAGTGAGGGAATATCCTCCCTGTGCACGGCAGTTTGGGAAAGGCTTCACTCACAAACACTCTTATGGCAGGTGAGGGCAGGGTGGGAAGGAGGTTGTGGTTAAGGTAAGAGGAGCTTGGATTCCTGTCTTCTCTTTCCTTACCCAGACAGGCCTTTCCTTCTGTGGCCTTAGCCTGGGTTCCTATCTGTAGCATGCAGAGGACCGGCCCAACCGGGGCTGAGACCCTCTCTCCAACCGGATCAGGAAGCTGGGCCTGGTTCCTTTGTCCCACCCTGCTCTCCTCACACAAAACATTCCTCTCCCTGGAGCTGGTGTGGGCCCTGCCTGCTGACTCAGTCATGTTAGACCTCCCAGCTCTCTGGCCCAGCTGCTGAAGGAATGGAACTGGTGGGAGAGGGGCGGGCTGAAGAGAGAGGGGGCCAGAGACCTCTGGAGAGGAGCAGTTTTAAGCCTTGGCACCAGAATGGAAGAGGTCAAGTGGCTACTGGTATGAAGAGCTATTAATAACAGGTTGGGAGTGCTGAGCCCCCAGGGATCTCAGCCTCAGGACAGGGCTGGGGGTGGTGAGGTATCAGGTCAAAATAAGAGCACAGGACCAGGTTCCGTGACAAGCAGGCAGGGAAATTAAAACCCAGAGCTCTAGTTGTATGACCTCCCTGCCCTCTGAGAATTCCTCTCATACCCACAGCCGGGATAACCCTACAATTATTATGCCAAAGACCCAGTCCCCACAAGGGGCAGGAGTTAAGGTGGAACTGCTTAGCCAAGAGATGGAGGCAATTGCCCCATTTCTGAACTTGGTTATGGCTCACTCTGGGGAAACTGAGGCTCCTGTAGGACCCTGAAAACACCTGCAGGTTTTCTAGGTCATACATCACTCCCTCTACAAGCTGAGCCTGGCAGGAAAAGCTATTTCCCCCTTCAAGATCCCTCCTCGCCTTCATTTCTGATTTGTTCCCATAAAGCACTGTGCCTTTGGGTGGGTTGCCAGGCCTGGTCCCTGGTGTCTGGGCAACAGCTGCCTAGTGGCATCAAACTGGTGTCCTTCCCTTGGCCTGTCACTTCTTTCATTCACTCTCCTCTCTCAATTTCTCACCCATGAGAAATTGCACCCCTGGTTGCAATCCTCTTTTCCATGTCTGCATCTTCATGGGCGTTGTTGGGGGTTGTTGAAGTTGCTTTGAAGTAGAAAAAAAAAATAGGTATCTTTATGAGAGCCATTTTCCCTATTATTGTGTTATACTTACCCAGTTCCTTTGATTAGAAGGTTCTTTCCTCCAAGATAGAGGAGAAGCCAGGTGAGGTGACTCATGTTTATAATCCCAACCCTTTGGGAGGCCGAGGCGGGAGGGTCATTTGAGGCCAGGCATTTGAGTCCAGCCCGGGCAACATGGCAAGATCCTCGTCTCTACAAATAAATAAATAAATTATAAAAAAGATTCGAAGATAGAACAGAAGCAAACTTAAGCCCAATGTGTGTAGTTATGACCACATCTATTGAGATTTTATGTTTTTACATTAATTGCTCTTACATGTTTATTCCTGGTACTTAAAGCATTGCAAAGTAAGGCAAACTGTGCCTTTCCTCAGAGAGTGAATGCAGAGCATCCTTCACCCCATCTAGGGAGTTCCTTTAACTTTCTGACCACCCCCCACTTTTGGCAAAGTCTATTCCTGGCCACAGCTAGTTTTTTTTCCAACCCGGTTAACTCTCCACTGCCCCAACCCATCCCCAGCTCATGGCTGCCACCTCTGGGTCCTCATGAATGGAGGTCAGTTCTTGGAGATGAGGAGATGGGATGGGCACAGCACAAGCAGCAGCAGAATTAGTACTAGGAATGATGGCACTTGAAGAAGAGGCTCCAGGATTGGAAGCACCACCAGTGGAGAGGGGATGGGATGGGATGGGGTGGGGTGGGTGGGGTGCATAAGGACCAAGAGGTAACATACAAGATCTTAAATCAAAATGATGACTTGGGCTGGGTGCGGTGGGTCATGCCTGTAATCTCAGCACTTTGGGAGGTGGAGGCAGGTGGATCACGTGAGGTCAGGAGTTCGAGGCCAGCCTGGCCAACGTGGTGAAACCCTGTCTCTACTAAAAATACAAAAATTAGCTGGGCGTTGTGGTGGGCGCCTGTAATCCCAGCTACTGAGGCAGGAGAATTGCTTGAACCTGGGAGGCAGAGGTGGCAGTGAGCCAGGATTGCACCATTGCACTCTAGCCTGGGTGACAAGTGTGAAACTCCATCTCAAAAAATAAGAATAAAAAATAAAATAAAATAAAATGATGACTTACGCTTGGCCATTGTCATTCACTCTCCTCTTCTGTACTCAGCATTAAATTATTATGCATTATGAGGGGGAAGTCCAAAATGTATTACTTCCCGCAACAAATACTTTTTCAGTGCCTACTATGTACTAAGCATTTCAGTGAACAATAACAAGAATCCTTGCCTGAGGGAACAGTGGTTTCAAGGAGACAGAGTGCACATAAAGGCATGACTGGAAACAATTAGGAAGCGTGGAGGGCCCATGCTAATTACTCTTGCTGTCCCAGAGTGCCTAAGAGTGTGTCAGAAGGCAAAATTACAACACATTTAGTTTTAAGATCTGAATTGGCTTTGATGTTTGAGTCTAGAATCCGGTAACAACGAGCCGAGCAGAGGAGGTGGTATTATAGACAGAGAAGGGCAGAGGCAAGCAGAAACGAAGGGCAAAATGCAAATTGGTCATTGCAAAGTTACTTTTCTTGTAAACGTTAAAGCAGATGGCACTTTCTTATCACGCTGGCTGAAACGGTCCTGTTTGGGGATCTGGCTATTATCTCTCACTTTCCTGATTTCTTGGAGAATCAGATCAACAACTTAGTTTCAGCTTGGTGATATGGAACTTCAGTATGAGTGAACCTATTTTGGTTTGGTCTATTGGGCCTAGTGTAGGAGCTCAGTACAAAACAATGGCCTCTTATAAATTGTACTTAACTAGGGACCTGTGCGGAAGGAGGGGCTGGAGTGGGATGGGGTGTGGGAAGCCTTCATCGAAGGGAGTGGATTTAAAATCAGAATCAGATAGAAAGAGGAGTCAAAGGGTGGGGAGTGGTGGTGCCCAAAGAGGGCAGAAGTGCAGCTTGTCGGAGGACTATGGACTAGGAAGAGATTGAAGGGGCAACAGGGAGGGCAGTTTGTGGGTGGCTAGGATGAAGAATTTACCTTTGACCCAAAGGCATTGCAATAGGGAGTCCGTGTAGGTTCGACAATTATCTAGGGAATTTTTCTTTCCCTTTCCCTCTTACCTGGAACCATCACTTAATAAGTAGTATTGAGAGAACTTTGGAGTCTGCATTACAGTTGTCCCTCGTTCTCTGTAGGGGATTGGTTCCAGGACCCCCACGGATACCAAAATCTGAGGATGCTCAAGCCTCCTATGTAAAGTTTGCATATAATCTACACACAGCCTCCTGTATAATTTAAATCCTCTCTAGGTTACTTATAATACTTAGTACAATGTAAATACTATGTGATAGTTATGTTATATATTTTTTGTATTATATTTTATTGTCATGTGATTATTTACTGTTTTCTGAATATTTTCAATCCAGAGTTGGTTGAAGCTGGGGAGGAGGGCTGACTGTATTTTATAGCCTGTCAGTTGTGTCTCATTCAGCAGGAGACTTGTATTTTACCCTTAGCACAAGTCTCCTTCCTTGCTTATCAGTGGCCTGCTGGAGGTGGCCAGATTGTATTGGAAGCCACTTCTGCTTTTGCTTCCCTTTGGGGACCTTTACAATTGCTTTTAGCAATCCAAGCCCTCACTTCTATTTCCCTCCCTGCAGATAGACTTCACTGCTGACCAGATTGAAGGTAAGTATGGACAACCCCACCTCTCCGTCTCTATTGCATTTTCCTGGAGGACGAGGAGAAGAAGGAGGAGGAGGAAGAAGAGGAGGAGTAGTTGTTGTCCTCATGGTAATAGTAATCACTATCATCATCATAGCAAACCTGTATTGAGCATTTACCATGTGTCAGGCACAGTCCTAGGCACTTTATATGGATTCACTCCTTTAATTCTCATCACAACACCATGAGGTAGCAGTTGTTACCTCCCCCATGTACAAGTGATAAAACGGAGACACATAGAGATGGGGTGACTTGCCCAGTCTCACATGGCGGTCAGCAGTAGAGCTCAGGTTCAAACTCAGGCAATCTGATTCCAGATCTGTTTTCTCAACTACCCCGCCAGACTGCTTGGAGCACAGCAGATGCTTAACAAAAGTTAGTGCCTTTTTTCCTCCACTCCAAAGATCTATCTAAGATATTTGGAAGCCCTCATTTCTGTTCCCATTATTGGAAAGCCCTCCTTAGTTTACCAGCTTCCTCTCCTGCCACCATGAAGTCTGCCAAGATGCTAACCCACTAATGGTGGCAGGGCCAATGAAATGTTTTATCACGTGATGCTCCATGTCCCCCAGCTGTAAAGCAGGACTCACTGTCATTGCAGTATATCCCTTTGTTTCCCCCACCGAATGCCTCCAGGACATAAAATTATAGGAATTGGAAGGGACTTTGAACAGTCACCTAATCCAGCCCCCTCATTTTAAGCACATACTCTCTTTTAAAAATCAAATGAATATTTGCACATGGTAAAACAAAAAAGCAAACACACACACACATATTACTTAAAAGTAAATAATAAAAAATAAAAATCCTTTTTTTCCATGCTAATTTCTCTCCCAAAGACAACCACTGTGGACAGGTGTTTATGTATCCTTTCAGAAAAATATATAATGATACACAAGCTTGTGTGTATGTATGATGAGTGTATACAGTTTATACAAATCAAGTCATGTGATACACACTGTCCACCTTTTATTAAATATATACTTGGATTTAGTAATATACAGTATTTGGATATCTTTTCACAATTAACACAAACAGTTCTTTTTTTTTTTTTTTTTGGGATGGGGTCTTTTTTTGTCCCCAGGCTGGAATGCAGTGGCGTGATCTCCGCTCACTGCAACCTCCACCTCCCAGGTTCATACCGTTCTCCTGCCTCAGCCTCCTGAGGAGCTGGGACTACAGGCGCCCGCCACCACGCCCGGCTAATTTTTTTAATATATTTAGTAGAGACGGGGTTTCACCGTGTTAGCCAGGATGGTCTCGATCTCCTCACCTCATGATCTGCCCGCCTTGGCCTCCCAAAAGTGCTGGGATTACAGGTGTGAGCCACCGCGCCCAGCCACACAAACAGTTCTACTTCATTCTTTTAAACAAGTATATAGACTCTCACACATAGGTGTAACCTTTTAATTTAATCAGGACTATACTGATAGGCTTTCAGATGTTTCCGGTTGGAGGATATCAGCTTTCTTTTCCCAGGTGGCCTTCCTAGCAGTGGTTTAAAGGATGGTGCATTTTAAATTATAATGGTTATTGCCAGGTTGCTCTCCAAAAAAGTGACACCGGTTTACCCACAAATACAGCGTGAGAGCTGGCATATGCCTTTTGAAACTAGTGAATTGAGCCTGACTCTGTTTTCATAATACTCAGTGGATACTCACTTGCAGTCAGCATTAATTTCAATGCATTTTAGTTAAATATATACTTACGTGGATATAGAAACACAAGGATACTAGTGAGGACTGGAAAATCAACTAATGATTTAAAATTTTAACTTCCCAAATGGCCAACTGGAACAGATGGTTGTGTCTTTTCAGGGCTGATGGGGAGGGGGTAACTCATTCTGATCTTTTATCCCTCCGACCTTGAAGACATTTTTCCTTCTGTTGAATCAGAATTGTTTTTCCTTTAATTTTACCCCAGCGATCTTTTCATTTGTTTTTTGGTGAAGATGATAATGGTTTTCTCATGTTATGGTGGAAAGAACATAATGTGGAATTAGGAGACTTTCGTATTAGCCCTAATTCTTCCACTATTGGCCGTGAGACTTCTTTAAATCTTCCACTATTGGCCATTTCACTTCTTTAAATCTTAATTTTCTTATCTATAAAGTGAGGGTATTTGGGTTTCAATTTAGATATTCTAGTCCATTCAGCATCCTCTAGATATCCTCCATCTATTTGGAGATAGTTTTCAAATCCCTCCTAAGATTTATATTCTCTAGGTGACATGCCCCAATTTATTTTATTTTATTTTATTTTATTTTATTTCATTTCATTTTATTTTGTGCTATCATTTTATTTTATTTTGAGACAGGTCTTGCTGTGTCACCTAGGCTGGAGTGCATTGGTGCTATCATAGCTCATCGTAACCTTGAATTCCTGGTTTTAAGCAATCTTTTCACCCCAGTCTCCTGAGTAGCTAGTACTACAGGCATGTACCATTGTTTTTATGTTTTGTAGAGATGGGGGTCTTGCTATGTTGCCCAGACTAGGCTCCAACTCCTGGTCTCAAGCAATCCTCTGGCATCCCACAGTGCTGGGATTATAGGCATTAAGTCACTGTGCCTGGTCTCCCAGTTTCTTTTGTGCTTTTTTTTTTTTTTTTTTCTCATAGGAATTAGCTTCTAACCCTTGACTTCCTTCTCATCCCTCTCCAGATTTCTGTATTCTTTTAGAGAGGGCAGTCACTGCTGTAGTAAGCAGGTGACTACACTACTGCAGAGTATTGAGGAAAGGTCTCTTCTGGACCCTTGAACATCACCTCTAATACCTGAAAATCACACTGGCTTTTCTTTTTTTTTTTCTAGTTGTAGTCCTAAACATCAGTGTTTGATTTTTTTTATGTGCATACCAGACTTCCCAGCAGGCCAGCCGATAGGTTGGAGCATCAGCAGTTATAACAAGCAGGTGTCCTCCTCTTCCTCCTTCCTCCCCATCATTTCCTTGGTTTCCTTAATAGTTGATCATAAGTCATATCTACATTGGCTTTTAAATGAGGATAATAATACCGATAGCATAAGGTTTTCTCATAAAGATTAATAGAGTGTTCTATGCAAAATTATTTGCTCAGGGCCTGGTTCATGGTAAGTGCTCAAATCATAGGTCATTGTTCTTATTACCCTCCTCTTCAGGTTTCACCCTCTTATTAAGCATCATTACATCTTTTTTTTTTTTTTTTTGAGACAGAATTTTGCTCTTGTTGCCCAGGCCGGAGTGCAATGGTGTGATCTCTGCTCACTGCAAACTCTGCCTCCCGGCTTCAAGTGATGCTCCTGCTTCAGCCTCCCGAGTAGCTGGGATTACAGGTATGCATCACCAGGCCCAGCTAATTTTGTATTTTTAGTATAGATGGGGTTTCTCCGTGTTCATCAGGCTGGTGTCGAACTCCTAACCTCAGGTGATCCTCCCACTTCGGCCTCCCAAAGTACTGGGATTACAGGCGTGAACCATTGTGCCAGGCACATCATTACATTTTCTTTTGATGAGACTTCCTCTTTTGTTAAACTTGACCTCACTCTTCTGAATGAACTAGGAGATCAAAAAGTCTGACTTCAGATTCAACTAACAAATATGTATTTATTGAGCACTGAATTTGTGCCAGACACCATGCTAATTGTTTTAAAAGTAAAAAAGATTAAATCCTGGCCAGGTGCAGTGGCTCACACCTGTAATCTCAGCACTTTGGGAGGCTGAAGCAGGTGGATCACTTGAGGTCATGAGTTTGAGACCAGCCTGGCCAACATGGTGAAACCCCATCTCTACCAAGAGTATAAAAAATTAGTTGGGCGTGGTGGCACGTACCTGTAATCCCAGCTACTAGGGAGGCTGAGGCAGGAGAATTGCTTGAACCTGGGAGGTGGAGGTTGCAGTAAGCTGAGATTGTGCCACTGCACTCCAGCCCGGGTGACAGAGCAAGACTTTGTCTCAAAAAAAATAAAAATAAAAACAAAAAAATAAATAAAAATATTAAATCCTTATAACAAGGCTATGAGGTAGGTGTTATTTCCTTTTTACAAAGGAGGAAACCAAGGTTCAGTGAGGTTAAATGATTTGGCCAAGATCACACAGTTAAGTGATCCAAATTAGGATTAAACTCAGTAAGATAATACTAGACGCACTGTTTATGCATTTACTATGTGCTGGACATTGTGTTAAAATTTTTTACATACATTATTGTATTTATACACATAGTATATTTACATACATTATTATATTAATTTGAATGTAATTTAAGAAACCTATGATAGCCAGGCGTGGTGACTCACACCTGTAATCCCAGCACTTTGGGAGGCCGATGTGCACGGATCACCTGAGGTCGGGAGTTCGAGACCAACCTGACCAACATGGAGAAACCCCATCTCTACTAAAAATACAAAATTAGCCTGGCATGGTGGCGCATGCCTATAATCCCAGCTACTTGGGAGGCTGAGGCAGGAGAATTGCTTGAATCTGGGAGGCAGAGGTTGTGGTAAGCCGAGATCATGCCATTGCACTCCAGCATGGGCAACAAGAGTGAAACTCCATCTCAAAAAAAAAAAAAGAAACTAACTAAAAAGAGACCTATGATGTAGGTACCATTTATATAAGATGTTTTTAGAGGTTAAATATTTATTTGTCCAAAGTCAAGTAAGCAATGGGAATGAAATTTGAACTCAATTATTCAGTAATATGAAGGAAATGTGGTTTTATGTCTTTTAAATTCATATAAAGCCTAAGAAAGAGTTGAAAGTTAAGGTCCGGGGAATCTTCTGTGATATGTGGAATGATTTGTAAATAATCCATATGCAGCCTTTAGAGAAAGAAGTACTTGGAAAGGATTAAAACTGGCTTTTTTCCCTAAGTAGTTCATGAATTCTTTTTTGGCTTATACTGTTAATCTGCTTAGTAAACCACTTCTTTGTGGGTAGCGTAAGGTAACTTCAATGCCCCTCCCAGGCCAAATTACCTCCACTAATGAACTGGTTGAATCCCAATCAATGAAGAATTGGGCCTAGGTGTGGTGACTCACACCTATCATCCCAGCACTTGAGAGGCCAAGGCAGATGGATCACTTGAGGCCAGGAATTTGAGACCAGCCTGGCCAACATGGTGAAACCCAGTCTCTGCTAAAGTACAAAAATTAGCCAGGTGTGGTGGTGGTGGGCGCCTGTAATCCCAGCTACTCAGGAGGCTGAGGCACAGGAATTGCTTGAATCTGGGAGGTGGAGGTTGCAGTTAACCGAGATCACACCACTGCACTCCAGCCTGGATGACAGAGCGAGACTCTGTCTCAAACAAAAACAAAAACAAAAACAAAACAAAAACAAATCGATGAAGAGTTAAGGTTCTTTGAAAAAGGGACCAGGAGTGCCTTCCTTTGGTCTTGCTGCGGGGATATTTGCCCTGCTGCCTTCAAGGAGTCCAGTCCCTATGGTTCTGGGCTGGTAAGTAGGAAACAGAACTGGGAAACAGTTGTAACCACCATTTGTCGATTCCCTTACCATATGCCGGACATTGCTCGTCGTGCTTTGTGATCCCACCTGCAACCCGCTCAAGTGATCACTGTATCTCCACTTAGAGCTAAGAAAACCAGGGCCCACAGAGGTTAATAGTTTGCCCCAGGCCGTATGCGAGTGGATGGCAGAGCTGGGGTGGTCTGACAACTGCCTCATCAGGCCTGGGAGCCGCCTTTCAGCCTGGAACAGGCAGTACTGATAATAGCTGACTTTCCAGCGGTCTTATCACTTTGTAAAATGCTTCCACACACTGCAACCTCCCTTCGCTCTCACAGTGACAGGCCCAGGGAGTGGGGTGGAGTTGTCACTCCCTTTGTGTGCACAGGAAGCTGAGACCCAGCCCAGCTTATCCTGCACTCTGAGGCAGAGCCAAGATGAGAATTTAGGAATCCTCAGTTCCGGGCCAGTGCTATTTTCACTTGTCTGTCATTTCAACAGTCAGGAACCTCACCTACACCAGAGCAGGATGTGTGGGCGGGAGGGGTGGAAACCAGGGAGACATTTGAATTTTTTTTTTTTTTTTTGAGATGGAGTCTCACTCTGTCATCCGGGCTGGAGTGTAGTGGTGCTATCTCGGCTCACTGCAACCTCTGCCTCCCGAGCTCAAGCGATTCTCGTGCTGCAGCCTCCCAACATTCGAATTTTATAACAATGAAGCAATAGAAGAGACCCCAGGCCCAGCCCTAGAATGGGTCGTGGAGGCACCAGGCTGCCTCTTGGTTTGGCAGAAGATGAGATGGGGACGGGTTCGAGGGAGGGCCTAGGCTAATGGACAAAGAGAAATATTGGAATATTTTAACAACCACACGCACCTACTATTCAGCTTGGTGGAGGCTGATTGGCCACCAGCCACCACCTTCAATGGGGATTGGGGGGTATGGCTGGGTCTTCTCTTCACAGAGTTCAAAGAGGCCTTTTCATTGTTTGATCGGACCCCAACTGGAGAGATGAAGATCACCTACGGCCAGTGCGGGGATGTACTGCGGGCCCTGGGTCAGAACCCTACCAACGCCGAGGTGCTGCGCGTGCTGGGCAAGCCCAAGCCCGAAGGTCAGTGCGTCTGCATGGCAGACCTCTCCCAGGGTCCAACTTGCAGTCCCTGGGCTCCCTCCTTGTCCAGATTTTCTCTGCCATCTGGGCTCTCTCTTCTCCCGCTTTAGCCCCTCAGGACCAGCCTCCCCTACCCAGCTTACCCTAGTCCCACTCTGAGAATTTTTCTAGACGTCTCGTACTTAAATGACCCTGGAGGAAGGTAGCCTGCGGGGCAGGAGCTACATTCTGTTGCCTCAGTGTCTGAGGAAGGCTGGGTGGGAATCTGGAAATCTGGTAACTGATGGTTCTCACTCCCCAGCCCAGGAGCTCTCAGGAGAGGCATCTGTCACAGCACCCAGTATCCTGTGGTGGCCATCGTGAGCTGTATTACAAATCATTTGTTTCTAATAATGGTTAGAGTACTGACTTTTACAAATTGTTTGATATGAATTAGAGCAGCTTCAAGATTCTTAGCTCTACATGCTGCCTCTTGCATTCATTTGCACTTCAATAGGTTTTGGTGAGTGAGTGTTTAGAAAGTGGTGCAAACGATTCTTTTGTAGCTCATAAGTGCGACCGTTGAGTGTTCATACTCATGTGTGAGCTGTGCCTCCATCAGTCCTTGTTACGGCAGATGAAAAGAGGTGCAAGGGCGTGTGTCCCATTTGTAATGTCATCTGTCATGTGTGCCAGTCAAGTTAACAGCTGCTCTAAACCACGCACACATGCTTCTCTTCAGTGGTGTTGGCATGGGATTTGGGGTGGGGTGAGCCTCTCAGCAAGGGCGGGCCATCTCTGGAGGCTTCCTAGGTCCCATATTGGTTCCTCCCTCCATCCCTTGGTTCTGGCCCTTTCCCCTTCTCCTCTGGCTGAAGATAACCGTGGGGGTGAAGGATGTGGGCAGGAAAGGACCAGAGGGCTAGGAGCTTGTGTCTCAGAAGTCAGAAGCAAGTCCTGGGTGCTTATAAAAGAAAGAAATGCCCACATTTGTGGTATTTAAAAATAGTTTGCCTCTATTAAATTACAGCTTTTTAACACACTACCATGTGGGAGAAGTACGCTGTTCACAAGAGAACTGCGAATTTATAAAACTTATTGATTCAGAGTAGCTTCAAGCAGTGTGCTCTAGTGATGGGACCCCATGCAGAGTGGTGCAAACATTTCTTTTTTCAGTCCTGTCTGTTTGCCCCTGTGATTATAGGTCTGTCACATGTCAAGGGTCTAAACTGAGTGTGAGGCCCGGGCTGCGTGGCACTTCGGGCCCCTCACATCCTGCTGCTGCCACCCTCAGCTCCTTCACCTGGTTGGCCACCTGGTGCTCAGAGGTCTGGGTGGAGGGCTCCTTTTTCCTTCCACCCTACTCCTTTCACTGAGAAAAGAAGGCCCCTGAGACTGTCTCCCCAGCCCCCAGTCCCCTGCCTTGCTTGGATGGGCAGCTCTGTGTCCTCCAGGAGCACTAATGGGTGTACCACCCAGAAGTGGCTGTAGCCCGAGCCCTGGGTGCTGTCAGACTTGGGGTGAGGCCCCCTCTTGACCCTCTGCTCCCCTGAGCGCCAGCTCACGTTGCTTTCTCTTTCTCTACCCTGCCTGCCTAAAGAGATGAATGTCAAGATGCTGGACTTTGAGACGTTCTTGCCCATCCTGCAGCACATCTCCCGCAACAAGGAGCAGGGCACCTATGAGGACTTTGTGGAGGGCCTGCGTGTCTTTGACAAGGAGAGCAATGGCACAGTCATGGGTGCTGAGCTTCGGCACGTCCTTGCCACCCTGGGTATGCCAGCTGGGCAGAGATGAAGACCAAGTGGGAGGAATGGAGGGGTGGGAGGTGCCAAGGTGACATATACTGGTTGGGTTGGGGGGTGGTATACAAGGGTCTTTGCATCCTGAGGATAATGACTGATTCAGGCCCTGCCTCCCTGGGCTCTGCAAGAACAACCATCCCCAGCTGGGTTTGCTCAGCAGGTACCAGGGTTTGGGAGAGGAGGGGAAAGCAGGTTGGCAGAGCAGGGGTTACTGCTGAGGCCTGAGAGGTGGGACTCAGGGCTTCTTTCCTTGTCTTTGCCTGAAACACTGAGGCCCTGGCAGCTGTAAGGCAGGGGGGAGGCTTCGGAGACTGGGCAAGACCTTAAGACCCTTGACCCCACCCTTCAAAGCATTTGGGGGAGGCTTGGTTTGAACCACTTCCCAGATCCAGGCAGTCTTGAACCTTCAGACTTATGGGGGTATTTGGGTATTGCCAGTTCCTCCTTTGCCATCTGTAATTAAGAGCGCACCACCTCCCAAACCCATTGCAGGAGAGAAGATGACTGAGGCTGAAGTGGAGCAGCTGTTAGCTGGGCAAGAGGATGCCAATGGCTGCATCAATTATGAAGGTATTAAGCCACGCCTTGCTTCCCAGGGCAGCCAGGGATGGTAGCGTGGGAACAGCTTGGGTGGGGTAGGCCCAGGAACTGGGGAGTGTGTGTCTGATGTGGGCTTTGGTAGACCCCCTATTGGATGTTGTTCTTTTCCATCTTGTGAGTGAACCTCCTAGTGTAATGGTGGGAGCATGGATTTTGCAGCTAGCTCTGTGATATATTAGCTGGTGGACTCGATTAAGTCACTTATTTTCTCTGAGCCTCAGTTTTCCCGTCTGAGGGATAGGGGTGATGCTGGCACCTTTCTCAAGGCTGTGGGAATTCATAGCGATAATGTAGTTCATTCCATTTGTGTTGAGAATGAGCACAGAGAGTGGGCACAGAGCAGAGTTTAAATGTTTGCCCTTCTTCCACCTTCTCCCCACCAACCCCCAAATAAGAGCAGGAACTACACAGTCTGGAGAAAGGAGAGTGGGAGGGTTGGAAGTCAGGCAGTGTGGAGAAGGGACAAGTGGTTTATGGGCCTAGAGGTGCTGAGCCACACGGCAACTGGTTTTCACTTCTTTCCTAGCCTTTGTCAAGCACATCATGTCGGGGTGAAGCAGAGTCTTCCAGGTGAGTGCAGCCTCCCCCCCGGTCCCTTCTGGGGTCACTTAGGGCCTTAAGAATACCACCACATGCCCTAGAAGGCGTCTGCCCCAGCCCTGACCCCTTAAGAGGAAACCACTTGGGATCAGGACGTGAGGACAGCCCTGCTCACTCACCATCTCCTGTCTCCTGCCTGCCTTTGCCTGTTCTCCCTGTCTTGACCCTGTCAGTCACATCCTCTTGCCTCTCCCAGGATCTCTCAAGGCAACACCCTTCCCTCAGGCCTGAGGTCTCCTGTACAGGCTCCTGGGAGTGAGAAAACCAGATCCCAAGTGGAAGAGAGAGTCCCTGGCCTGTGCTCTTGACCCTGTTCTTCCTCACTTCTTTCCCTAGGTTCTCCCTGTGATCTCCCTGGGTGTGGTAAGGGGCTGGGTACAGGAGGCTGAAATGCCCTTTCCACCTAGCACTTTCTTTCAGGTGCCTGGCCCTTGGCCTTAGCCATACCAGGGTGAGTTAGAGAGAGGCCCCGGATGGTTGAGCTGAGATGGAGTCCTCGACTTATCACCACGCCGCTGCCCCAAGGACCTTACAGGCCCTCCCTGTTAATAAACTGCTCCAATACGGCCAGGCTGGGCTCTGGGATTATGACCAGTCTCTGTTTTGTTTGTTTTTTAAAAAACTAATTAACAGATTGAGTTGGTTTGTGGTGTGTGTGTGATAATGTCACCTGCGGTCTCATGTGTGCTCAGAGAAATGAGTAGCATCTGGGAGCTAGGAGACAAGGACAAAAGCCTGTGGATCTAGAGATATTGGGGTCAGACTCAGGAGAGTAAGCTCTGGAAGGCCAGCAGCTTGAGGAGTTGTCACCTGGAGGAGTTTCATTCCCTTCTGGCTCACCCTCTACCTTATCACACCTCCAGGTGGCAGGCAGAGAGAGGCCAGGCTGAGGCAGGGACTCCTCCTGTGGTCCTTGCTGTTGCTGCTTTTAAACAAAAATTGTTGTAAAATACACATAATATAAAATTTACCTTCTTAACCATTTTTAAGCATACAATTCAGTAGAGTAAGGTATATTCACATTGTCATGTAGTGGTATTAGTCTCTTTTCATGCTGCTGATAAAGGCATACCTGAAACTGGGAAGAAAAAGAGGTTTATTGGACTTACAGTTCCACATGGCTGGGGAGGCCTCACAATCATGGTGGAAGGCAAGGAGGAGCAAAGGCACACCTTACATGGATGGCGGCAGGCAAAGAGAGCTTGTGCAGGGAAATTCCTGTTTTAAAAACCATCAGCTCTTGTAGACTTATTCACTATCGTGAGAACAGCATGGGAAAAACCTGACCCCATGATTCAGTTACCTCCTACTGGGTCCCTCCCACAACACGTGGGAATTCAAGATGAGATTTGAGTGGGGACACAGCTAAACCATATCAGTAATCAATCTCCAGAACCTTTTCATTTCCACCAGCAGAAACTCCGTACTCATTAAACTACTCCCCATTCCCTCCTTCCCCCAGCCCCTGGCAATCAGCATTCTACTTTCCATTTCTATGAATTTGACCTCTCTAGATAAGTGAAATCAGACAGTGTTTGTCTTTTGTGGCTGGCTTATTTCACTTAGCACAATGTCCTCATGTTCCTTTTTTAAGGGGGAATCATATCCCATTGTATAGATGGACCACGCTTTGGTTTGATCCTTGCTTTTTTAGGTGCCTCTTCCTCTGAGTGCAAAGTTCCCGGTACTTGGTTCAGTCCTGCCAGTTCTGGACATCTCATTGACTCCAGACACAGGATTCCAGCTCAATGCCTTGGAAAGAGTCAGGGTCAGAGGTCATGAACCTCAGGCTGAGAGGGAAGGGGAGTGGGTAGAGGCATGTGGGAAAAGGAGACACCTGAAAACCAGCAATTGGGAAGAAGAAGCAAGATGATGTGATGAAGTTAAAGACACACGTATATGAGTAGAAATATTTAAATGGGAGCATAGGGGTCCGGTCATCCAGTCATCCCAGAAAGGGAGTCCCTACATCCCCGAGAACTCCCCAAGGTGAAATAAATCCTTCCCATGGCCTTTCTATTGCGTAACTGTCAAGCATCCAGCCACAGAACTCTGTGGAACATCTATGAATTCAGCCAAGGCTGCCTGCCTGTCATGGGAAGCTGAGCACCACAAGCCCAAGTTTGCCCTTCTTAGAATTTACAGTCTGGCTGGGGAGACAAGGCCAAGATCTATGTATATGCCCTTCGTTTCCCAGATTTTCTTTGAGGAAGGGTTTCAGCTTTGGGAGTGACTGGTTGAATCTCAAAATCAGGGATCTTCATACAGTTGAGGAGTTCATTGAATCCAGTGGTTCTCAAACTTTGGTTTAGCCCCATAGCCTTTTGTTCAGACTAAGTTTTATAAGGAAGTCAGTGCATGAAGCTGAAGAACACAGCTTCTTTGGCTGAGGAGGAGAGGGCTGGGTTCAGGCTTCTTGGAGCCTCTAAGTGGGCTCCTTGGAGCAGAGCCAGTTCACTGATTAGTCAGACTTCCTAAGTGTTGAAATCAGGAAAACAGATCCTTAAAGGTGAAGTGACTTGATCAAGGTCACAGCTAATGTTGACAAGGTCCCTTGAATTCTACTTTTTCTCAATTTTCAACACACCATTTTCAACCTGCCTTTGAAATGTTTTCCAAGCTTGGCTCCTAGGACTCTCTTCCTTGTCCCTACCTCTCAGACTGCTCTTATTGACCTCACTTTCTGCTTCTTTTCTTTAAATCACACCCCCAACTTGAGATGCCAACATTCTCCTTAGCACTGGGACCTTGTCAGGTTTTCCTCCTTCTCTTCTTTTCCTTCTTTTTTAACATTTATTTTAGGCTCAGGGGTACCTGTGCAGGTTTGTTACACCGGTAAATTGCATGTCTCAGGGGTTTGTTGTACAGATTATTTCACCACTCAGGTAAAACACATAGTACCTGATAGGTAGTTTTTTGATCCTCACCCTCCTCCCTGTCTTCTTTCTTTCTTCAGCAAGTATTTATTACCCACTGTATTCATTTGTGAAGAACTGGAGTTAAGGTTCCCAGTGATTTGAAAACTGAAAGTGGTTTCCTTGCCCAAAGTAGGTTACTGTTCACTTAAGCAAGCACATAAGTAACCAGGGATAAACAGAGAATGATCCCCAAATAGCATAGGGATAACTCCATCTATGTAACATATAGTGTAAGTTTTAAGGAACCAATAAAAGGAGGAACCGGAAGGAAGTGAAGCATTACAAGTATTTTCTCTGGGAGAAGGGCTTTCAGTGAGACCTTAAAGGAAAAGGTGCCCCAAGGTTGGTGCTTAGGCCCAGGGAGAAGAAGAGCATGAACAGAGGTCATAGCTCACTCACTAATTCAACAGATGCCCACTGGGTACCTGCTGTGCACATGGCACTGGCATGAGCCTTGGGAATATACTTAACCACACAGACATGGCCCTTATCCTCATGAAGCTTTCAGTCTAGTGAGAAGACAGACATTAGTTATAATCATGTGACAACATCAGCTGACATTTATTGAACACAGTATTAATTAAGATTATATTTGGCTGTGCGTATGGAGACCAAAACACAGCGGCTTAAGAGACATGGAAGTGCGTTTCTTCCTCCCATTGCAATCCGGAGATTGGCAGTCCATGGCTGGCACAGCTGGCATGCTCTACGTGGGTCCTCAGGGACCCAAGTTCTTTTATCGTATGGCGTCTCAGTGTGTGACCTCTACACATGGTCTAAGACGCTGCTCCGGCTCAGCCATCACTTCCACTGAGGGAATAGTTCAGGAAGCATTTTCATTTCATTTCTTTTCTTTTTTCTCTTTTTTTGAAATGGAGTCTCACTCTGTGACCCAGGCTGGAGTGCAGTGGCACGATCTTGGCTCACTGCAACCTCTGCCTCCCAGTTCAAGCGGTTCTTCTGCCTCAGCCTCCGGAGTAGCTGGGATTACAGGCACGCACCACCACACCTGGCTAATTTTTTGTATTTTTAGCGGAGATGGGGTTTCACCATGTTGGCCAGGCTGGTCTCAAACTCCTGACCTCAGGTGATCCACCCGCCTTGGCCTCCCCAAGTGCTGGGATTACAGGTGTGAGCCACCGCACCTGGCCAGGAAGCATTTTCTACTTGACAAACCTCCTTGGGAACCAACTTATTCGCTACCTCCGTGGTGTTGGGCTTGTTTATCTGAAGACAGAAGAGACTCTTGTCCTAGTCATCCTTTCCCCAACCCCGTACTTTGCCCGGCCCATAACGAAGGTTCGGCACTTGCCCCTCCTGGGAAGAGGTATGCATAAAAAGTGACTAAATAAAGTTCACGATTTTCTTCAACTAGACTGACTTCCACTATTTCCTACCAGATCCAGACCATGTACAGTTGACCCTTGAACAGCATGGGCTTGAACTGTGTGGATCCATTTATATACAGATATTTTTCAATAAAATGTACACTGAGTGTGCCTGTCCTTTCTGCGTCTCCTTTCACCTCCACCTCCTCTTCCACCTCTGCCACCCTGGGACCGCAAGACCAACCCTTCCTCCTCCTTAGCCTACTCGACGTGAAGATGAGGAAGATGAAGGCCTTGAAAATTATCCACTTCTACTTAGTAGTAAATATATTTTCTTTTCCTTATGATTTTCTTAACATTTTCTTTTCTCCAACTTACTTTATTAAAGAATGCAGTCTATTATATATATATATATATATATATATACACACACACAAAATATGTTAATTGACTGTTTATGTTTTTGGTAAGGCTTCCAGTCAGCAGTAGGCCATTCATAGTTAAGTTTTTGGGGAATCAAAAGTTATATGCACATTTTGGATTGCACGTGTGTTAGTGCCCCCCAACCTCCACGTTGTTCATGGGTCAACTGCAGTTTATGGAAATAGGACTGAGCCTACTGGGGGCCCTTCCACCACCCTGAGAGGTTCCTGAATGAGGGCCTGAGAAGGCGGCATCTCAGGCAGGATGAGTGTGAGTAAGTGGGCCAGAAGGAGGAAGGGAAAGGTGTCCCAGCTGTGGGGGCTCTGGCCTGCAGCCAGCAACGGCACCATCCTGAGGGGATGATGACACACGAGGGGACACAGGGAAGCTGCTTCTCTGGAAAGAGAGTATGGCTGTGTTCCCTAAAGGCCAGGCTCTCTGCTCCCCGTGGACAGATGCTGGGGAGAAAGTTGCCCAGAAAGTTGTCAGAGAGAATGGATATCTTCATGGGAATTTCCCACTGTCAGAGGAACGAACAGCCAGTGACCTTCAGGAGGGAGGTGGGAAAGGAGCAGAGGAGAGAGGGTATTCAGGGGCCTTCTCTAAGTCTCCTCCCTATCCACTGCCACAGGCCCCTGCCAGAGGCCAGAGCCTCTACTACCCCGCAGAGAGAAAATGAACAAAGCAGTCACTAGAGCTACGATGATCATCATATGAGGTCCCCTGATGTCAAAGGTGAATTTCAGAGAGTTGATAATAAAGAGCATCATCAACTTACTGAGTACCTACTATGTGCTGGCACTGTGCTAAGCACTTCTATCATTCTCTCATAGCGGTTTAGGAGTTTATGTATTTGTTAATTAAAAATATTTATTAATTTAAATTTATTAATTTAAAAATATATAGGAAGAATAATAACAAC